CGAAGGTCGTTTCGCGTGTAAATTACGAAGACGTGGCCACGAGCGCGGCACGAAGACGGCGATCCCATTGTCCGGGTATGTATTTTGACAGATCATCGGTACGGTGAGACCCTGGTATTCTCTGTATATGCAAACGCAACCTCTTGCCTCGAAATAAATTCCCGCGCCACCGAAAATTCTTTCGTGATTCATTGTTTCGCGGCTAACGTAACACTTCCGAACGAGGAACACGTTTTTCAATAATTAACAAGTTACTGGTCGCGTGAGAGTCGGATTTTTGTGGATTGCAAAGAAACTGATGGACTTGTAAAAATAAACATCTATGTTTCCAAATAAATAGTCGGTTCAAGAATTTCATTGCAAAATAAATTTTAGGTTCTATGAAATAGTTTGGAAGATGAGTAAATTTTTCCTCCCTATTCTTCTGAAAAAAATTGTACTCAAAATTTATTCATTTAGAAAGTTATATAAACATTTCCGGCCACACAGTATATTTTCAGTAATGAATTTTTGTCTCAAAAGTGGGTAGGATTTCGGGGTTATGTGTATTCACCAAAAATGATTGTAATTAACCTCTGCAACCAACAATAATTTTTTCAGAAAGATTAGAAAATTTTTTTTCCAGGGTAACCAGACAGTTATGGTCAGACATTATATTATCAGTAATGAATTTTTTTCTTGAAAGTGAGTAGGATTTCGGGGTTATGAGTATTCACCAAAAATGATTGTAATTGACCTCTGCAACTAAAAATAATTTTTTCAGAATGATTTGAAATTTTTTAATAACTTTTTAACGAAGCCACAGTCAAGAAATTGATATTCTTGATTTTCGTCTTATTTTGGCCTCTAGAATCTCTCATTAAAATTTTTCCCTGTATAATGAATTATTTTACAAATTACCAAACGTCATGCAAGATTTTACCACAATTCGTTTCCACTCGATTGTTATTGTAGCTTCGAACATCGAATGATTTATTTTTAAAAAACGTAAAAATCGTTCGTAGAATCGATTGACGAGATTTAGACGTCGATGACGATTCGGGGAATGATCGAAGTTCGAGAAAATCACGGATGATCCAGCAATCGTGTCTTTCCCCGTCGCGTAATCGATCGTTTTCAGCGCGGAACATGCTACCGGTGCGTCACGACGAAGCCCACGACACGGTTAAAGAGTTTGCAAAAGGCTCGACCACCTAGACGCCCACTACGAGCCAAGTGTCTCCTTTTCAAATGACCGCGGACCTTTTTACTGGTAATTTTCTAAACGGTTCCTTTCCCTCGGCGCATTGTTGCAGTTGCACCAGATCGCCCGAAGCGCGCGATTGATGGACGCGTCGCTTTTCTTTCGCGGTCGTCGATGATATGTATGTAGAAACGATCGATATCCGTCCGATAATCGAGATTTTATCGCCGGAAGGGACATTAAATTGCGTTTGATAACTCAACATCCAACGAGAGTACGTGTTGCAATAAAATCGTACAGTGACTCTTTTCCTATTCCCCTTTGCTACATCCTGACAACATTCTTTTTATCAAAAAATACATTTTCCAATAGTCTGTTCCGAAAAGTGTGATTTAAAATTACATATAACGCAATAGCTTGGCCAAAGTATTAAATTTAATAAAAATGTGATTTAATTGAATTTTGATCGAGCGTCAATTTAGCTACCAAACTGTTGTCGTGTACCGAAACAATAAAGAAGAAAATTTATTTGTAATAGTAAGGTTTTAGTGCATCGTTTGAAGCGATATATCGAATATTCCCAATGTTTCTTTGGTTTATTATTTTTCGATGACGTTAAAGACAGCGTATCTCCGCGCTGAGTGGATCCGTGGATCGTAAATAAAAATGATCACGATGGAAACGGAATCTCGTTGAACTGTTACACGTTGACGAAAATGGTAGTGAGCACTGAAAGAGCATTCTTTCGTCAGAGTGCAATACTTCATTCAAAATTTATTGCGTATGAGGTGTGTCGATTCTGTGTGGCAATCATGAACACCGCCACGGAAATCGCGCCGCGACAGGACGAACGCTTTGTCGCTCTTCTCGGACGTGACGTAACTCGTAGGAAGAAACTGCAATCGGCGTGAAACATATACGCGAAGACCTGGTTATTCGCGGCACGACCTTATTGACGATGATTCACGTGATCATCCGTCTTGTTTTCAGTGTGGGCCCCGGTGATACTCATTGAAAAGAAATCATTCCTCATGACTGGAATAAATTACAACTGTTTTACAGTTTCGCACTTCCTTCGTACGCTTATTGCGTGGAACGCGACTTATATTCTCGAACGAAAGTAACAGCGGAATTCAGTTAAAAATTCCCATATAATTTTAAGGGGCGAGTCTCATACGAATGATAGAAAATTGAATCATTTTTCTTAATTTTTTTTAAGGAAATGGTACATCTAATGTTATCATTCATTCTCACAGTTTACTTATCTATACATTGGGAATACAAAATAATTTTTTTATTAATTTTCATTAACTTTTAATGTTATTATCGCGTCCACAGTAAACGTGTGTTCAAACACTGGCGTACGTAATTGCAAGGTTGATTAAATCATAAAAATCAAAAAGATTTTTATCCAGTAGGTTTACAATTATCGCCCGTACCAAAATAATCAATTTATGTTGTAAATTGACAAAATGGTGAAAGCTTCAAATAAAAATTGCAAAATTTCGTCGTTTCTTTCGCAACTTTTTAATGAAAAGAATATGATAAACTCATTATAATAACTTGATTTTTGTACGGACGAGAACTATTAGTATGTGGAACAACGTGTAAAAATTTCAAAGCAATCGAACGTATAGTTTCTGAGATTTTATCTACGCCAGTTAAGAAAGCAACATTAACGTAATTTAACAAAAAAAAATTGATTTTTTTCAGGTCTCACATGAGATTCTCCCTTAAAAAATATTTCAAGGAGTTTCCGTGATTTTTTTAGGGCTTTCAGGGTCTCGTTGACTGACTCAAAAAATTTCTAGATCATTTATCACGACGACTGACCGTATCGAGCCTCTATTGTGCACCTTTTCTCGAAACGGAGCGTTCTCACGATTCAATGACAGAGTCGATGACGATCTCCTTCCAGCAATCTGTGTCTAGGCAGTTCAGATATCGATCCTTCTATCACCTCGATCGATCTAGCCGCACGATTTAACCAATTTCAAAAGCATTCTGATATTCGATCTTAAAAAACTAAATTCTTACGCCAACGGGAAGGAATTATTGACCTTTTTAAGTACAAATCGTTCGAAATAAACTCAAACTCAAACTGATACCAACGTCATCTGTCAAACTTGTGATGCGAATGTTATATCACTTAACTATGCATGCATTCAGGATTTTAGCGGTTATTCTTAGAAGCTAGTCACATTTTTATCCACGTAAATAAAAGTCTATACGAGTAAAAATTCCTCGAATAATCAGAAATTCGAGCCAACCCGTTTCTTCAAACGTAAAATCCTTAATAATTAACAGTGACGAGGGTGGGAGGGTGTAAGAAGCTGTACATAAATTCGTAATAACTTTAACGCGACAATAATTACACGAGACGTTAGCTGACGTAACACAGCATCGTGCAACGGTGATCATCGTCGATTAGCATACATCGGTGATTAATCTACCAGCAGTAGAATTTATCCTGGACACCGGACAAACGGGTAAACACGTGCAGTATCATGAGAACGAGGATTCGAATTACTTATGGTAGTTCGAATCAATCGGTCGTAGCGCGTGCTTCTCCGCTCAGACGCGCGATTCCCAGGTACAGACAGTCCTCACGAACTATCGCGTCGATGGTGTAAAGAGATCAGATCGAAATTGTCACCCTGTATACTTCCTCGTCCACCATCGAAAATCTATCTTTTCCGAGGCTTCGAATCGTACGCGTCGCTTAAACTCGTCTGGAGATTCGAATCTTCAGACAGATTAAGAAACTTCGCGATGGCGATTCCCTCGAAACTATGTTAAGGGGATCATTTTGTCTCGTGTAACGTAGAGTGAATTAATGACAAAGCAAACACCGTGTGTCAGAGAAAGTGTTGTATATATGCCCCCGACAGTGCGCGATCGCCGGATGAGAATTGTGCGAGGTCTGACCTAACGTCGCTAATGAAACGCTAAGCCCACGCGGTCCTGGTAAATTATTAACAATTAATGGCACTCGAATAATATTCCACTCGTGGCTGTCGCGGAGAGTACCGTCGTTGATTTTTTAACCGTCGCGATGCAATTTCGTGCTGGTCGCGTCGCGGGACGCTTTAATCGACAAATCTAATCACCGCGATGCAATCACTGACCATTCAATCGTATGAATTTAAAATCCTGTTTGCGATCTTTTTCTCTGCCCGAGGATTTTCGTAACGCGAACTTGTGACGCTTTGTGTAAAACGATATTGGACACGAAGGACCATCGTAAAAAGAGACCTGTTGAAACTCGACCAGAACGCTAAGTCCAAGACCTAGGTCAGCGTTTTGGATTATCGAAAGTACATATGCCGTGAACGCTGCAGAAATGTTGGATTCAGTAGTCTATGGCAAATGTGTTACTATCTTGAAACGAATTCAATCCGAAGACGAGTTTAATCCTTCTGGCTGTCAGTATATATTTTTTTTTTTTAATTTTTTAAAGGGACCGCGCGTTGCATTTCAATTCTTGTTTCGTCCGTGTTTCGTAACCCGCTTGGACTCATCCACCTACACGAGAAACAAAAATTTTCGCAAACGACGCAGCTGCTGCTAAATTTATCCAGAATTAGAGAAGAGTTAAATTTTTAATTCAAAATTAAATTTAAATTTTAGTTGATGCACTGCGAATATTGATTAATGTACTGGTATTTAAATTGCTCTTGAAACCGAAATGTTTCTGATTCTTGACAATTTTTATTTTTGGAGAAATTTAATTAAATACAATAGCTATTGTTTTTAGCAAAATATAGTCTGAGGATAGGTTCTTCCAGATCTCGACATTGCTAGTAAAATTATTTTTATTAATTACTTATGTTATCATTTTACCTTTTATTTTAAAAATTAAAGAGTTTGTTTCAAGAAATATACTATGTCACCCACTTTCTTAGCGCTTTCCCCGACTATCTGCTACCGAAACAAAAAAGTGTCAATTACTGCAACTTTCATTTTTTTAATGTCTCAAGTACTGAGACAATTTTTATGTTCAAAAAGAAATTAGACGACATTAGTTCACTCATTTGGTATGGTAATCCAATAAGAAGCAAAGAAGATGGACCAGATCCTCTGGAGAAAATGTTAAGAAACATTCAAATATCTTGCAATGAAAAATAGGAGTAGTAAAAATCATACTTTTTTTCTTGGGCTTGATGAACAAGAATTTAGCTTTTTCCACACTAATTACAATAAAATAAATACAAATATGCTCTGAAAAGGGCCCCAAACGAATCAGTCTTTGATACGTATCTAATAGTCAAGTTGAGCATCGGTATAAGTAGAAACAGAAAGCAACGAACAGACGCTCAAATATCATTATCTCGAAAACGAAACACTATAAAACAATTATTATTTTACAATTTCAACTTGAACTTACTAAAATTTTAGTCGAATAAAAATTTGAGGTCGAACATTCTCAGAATAATCAGAGACAAAGAAAATTCGAGCCAACCCGTTTTAAAGCAGTTCTTCCAACATGAAACTCTTAATGTATTGTACCAAAGAAATTAGATACTTGAATGGAAGGCAATGGAAATAAATGTTCATTCATTCTCTTATAGAAAACCACGATAAATTTGCAAAAACCCAGTCGAGCAGACAATTTTTATGGGTCATTTTGATTGCTTAAAACAAATTCGATGAAATCTCTGTATTTTGTAATTTTCAAGTGTACGATATCTCTTTGGTTTGGACTCGAGTTTCAACAAAGTCCTGACATAAAAACTGATGTGTGAGCGTAAAGGGTAAATCGTACACGCACGTGACAAATTTTAAAATATAATTGTCTCGAAAACGAAACTCTATAAAACAATTATTATTTTACAATTTCAATTTAAACTTGCTAAAATCTTAGTCGAATAAAAATTTGAGGTCGAACATTCTCAGAATAATCAGAGACAAAGAAAATTCGAGCCAACCCGTTTAAAAGCAGTTCTTCCAACATGAAACTTAATGTATTGTACCAAAGAAATTAGATACTTGAATGAAAGGCAATGGAAATAAATGTTCATTCATTTTCTCATAGAAAATCACGATAAATTTGCAAAAACCCAGTCGAGCGGACAATTTTTATTAGAAATTACGGATGGATCATTTTGATTGCTTAAAACAAATTCAATGAAATATCTGTATTTTGTAATTTTCAAGTGTACGATATCTCTTTGGTTTGGACTCGAGTTTCAACAAAGTCCTGACATAAAAACTGATGTGTGAGCGTAAAGGGTAAATCGTACACGCGTGGGACAAATTTTAAAATATAATTGTCTCGAAAACGAAGGTCGTGATGAATTTTCTATGAGAACGAGGTACCCAGAAATTCCCTGAAACGCGGTTTCGAGCCTGGTGAGTTCACCTTGATCCCCTGACACGAGGCGCAACGTGTGCCGAGTACGTTCCGAGGCGCTCGGAAAAGAGACACCGAAGGATCGCGTTAAGTAATCCTAACGCTCGCTGCATCGACTTAATCACGAAGGAGCGCGAGTCATCCTATTTTTAACCTGGTGGCGTACGTGTAACACGGAAAGTGTCCCGATCTGGGCCAGTCCGGGTACCCCACCCGGCATCCGGTAATCCGGCGGTCCCGACGGCCGTGTTATCCGATCTCTCCTTCCCCCCCGATTCCTATCCCGCAACTCCATCTCCCTCGAGCCGATCTTCCACGGCTGCTTCCACCCGATCGGTAGGGTTTACTAAGAGAGCACGAATCCTCCGAAGGTTCAGTGCGAAACGCGCTCTCGAATTCGAAGGATCCTTCGACTCCTTTGATCCCCCACTCAGAGGCAGACGAGAGACAGACCGTATAGTAGAGAGAAACAGAGAGGCTTTCGCTAGCCTGAAGATTGGTAGAACTTCTTGCACGCCGGTGGCACCGAACCACTCGTCGATCCGTTCTTTAATCTCGATGAGCGACGATCTCGGTCCCAGAGTGTCACTTCCTCGCCACGCACTTACGGACCTGCTGCCGATCTAGAGGACCTCGGCTTCTGCAAACGGTAGAATCGTCGACGGGATGATCGACAGGATGATCGTGTTTACGGTCCTTCTTGGACTTTTGGGACTGAGCCACGGTTTACGTAAGTTTCCGTTCCCCTTCGGGATTTCTCATTTTTCGAACAGCGACAATCTTGCTCGAGGAATAACGAATGATAAGAGAACGAATGAGTCTAACATAGAATGATCCATTGGTGATGTTTGACGTCTAGATCCCCGAACAGTTGTTTACCGTGTTCGTTTCTGTGCGCGTAAATCGTATCTCAAACTCCTGAGCTCTCGAATCGAGCAGTGACAGAAAGAACTTGATTTCACTAACTTTTCACGGAAGAATTATACAAAGACATAAAATATCTCGCTGTGAAGGCGAAAAAGTTTGTACGTTTATAGTTTAATTTAAGTCGAACGCAGAGATAAAAAAGTTAAGTGTTTGGTGAAATTAAGTTTCTTGTAACGGAATCTCTGTCAGAAACATTAAAAGATATGTCTTTTTTAAAGTGACGAATACACACTCTCTGTAATTAATTGCCACATTAATTTACATGTTATCTTGCGTTTCTGTTGTGTATTTATTCTGAACTACTTCCTTCGAATGAAATGAATATTCGTGACAAAAATTCAATAAAAAAGAGTTACAAGTGAATTTTTAAACTTAAAGTGATATTTACTGACACTGTACACTGATACTTATCGACTTGCGTGTATTATTTTGTATTAAATCTAAGACCTGCAGAGGTTAACTCTAGATACGAATAGCTAGTAAATAGAATCATCAATTTCTTGATTACATGTATAACAGAAATTTATTATAATTCACTACGTGGTTTGGAATAAACGGGTTGTGTAAGAAACGAAAGAAGCGTCTGACACATTTCTGTCAGGTTTGAAGCAACGCTGTTTAAGTTTATGAATGAGAGTGATGAATGGAAAGCGCCTAATGAAGTGTTGCACGTCACGTAGAGCACGCTTGTTTTACGCTAATAAGTGCCGTAAAAAATCCACGTCAGCTACTCGCGAGGTTCCAACGAAATTAATTGTTATAAATCGTCCAACATCCTTAGTTCGGTGATTGACAGAAAAATTACAATTTATTCATAAAACGATTAAGTAAATGTGCATATCGGATTCATTGAACGGTTCTAAACATTCCCCTGCATTTCTAAATACGTTTTAGAGCATTTGCAGAGTTCTCTTATTTTTCTAAATTTCTTTCTAGCTTCGTTGCATTCAATTAGATATACTTCTTCGACAAAAATTTAATTTTCTGTATTGAATTCGGGAAGGAAGTTTGTCATTTCGTCGATTACGTTACAGTTGTTACAGTTATACAAGTCTTGCGGTCGAGTAACCAAATCGATCGTTACACCTGGTACAGTTTTTCACCAGGCATTCCGAAATATCGACAAATCATTATTCGCGTAGAAAATTATTTAAAAAAGACTACTCAGTTTCTTTTATTTAATTTATCATTTTTAACCACGTTGGCTTGAAGACACGTAGCGATCAGAACTTAAATCAATTAATTTCGAAAAATTACCCAAGGTGAAGGTGAAAACGTAGAATTATTGTTAAATCTCCACTATCGTATTACTCCGAACACTGCAATCGGTGTTCAACGTAGCAAGAAAATATTCATTCGACTTCTATAAATAATGCTAAGGTTGTTAACACCTACGGAATCAGTATGACGTAATTATTTCGTCCTTTAATCGAGATGGAAGCCTTGTAAGTACCCAGCAACTTATCAATCCCTGATCTTCTTCTCGTTTAGCGCGCCTTCGCGATCCGTTTCGCTTGTATCGAGTCCGTCCTCTCTTCTAAGGTTAGATTGCGCAACCAGCAACTGGAGCAACGATCCGCGAGCGCAAGGACGGTACCATTTACGTCATTAAACCCCGCCGATCTTCGAGCACGTGCAAAAATTCGAAGAAGACATTCCGCTCTCGGGCGGTGCATCGATATCGCGAATAGAAAGAAAAATCGATCCTGGATTACGGGGAATGCGTTACGATGAGTCAGTAGAAACTGAACAGCGTCGAGAAAATGCTTAGGCGCTGGCTTTACGAAGGCTGACTTGTAAGACTTCTGACCCAATACGATCCGCAGTTCCTTCCAGAACAGCTCTTCCCTTTCTTCCCTATCCTTAACTCCACAAAGTTGGACAAATTTCATTTCCACCAACGAATTCAAATTTTAGATTCATCCCGTACAGAGACGTTGTTTAAATTAATTTTTAAACTGATTTATTCGTAGCTGAGAATTAATGGAGATTCGAATAAATAAAAAATTGTTACTTGTTATTCGTGAATAAAATTTGTCCAGCACTGTGCAGACCTATCCCTCAAAGTTAGACAATCGGTAGACAGACTTTCGTTTTCGAATGTACTCGAAGATCACGCGATTCAGAAATTAAAAGTGCACTTGCACTTTCTCCTATCAAACTCTTGGATAAGAAATTTGATGTAAATGGTGCCCTTTTGCTCGTAACTATTTTCAGTACGATTGTCAGCTGTCAATTGTTCCTCGATCTCTTTGAAAATTTTAAAGAGCAAGCATTGAAGTCAATGATGTAGTGTTAACAAACTATTTGTTAAGAGCTAATAATATTCTACTATATTGATCATTTTAAAGATCCTTAAATGTAACTTGTCTCTTACAGCCATCTATATCGTATTAAAATCAAATTATTTCCAATTCTCAAACGAAGACCAACTGTGTGACATTTTAAAAGATAATCTTGAAGTCCATTCGAAGTGCAGTACTGGAAAGATTGGCACAGACAGCATATCAACAGTCGAATTAGCTATATAAATACAAATATTGATTGCTGGCCAGTCGAGTCGTTTCCATACTAATATTTAGCCTCAATAGTTTAATTCCAACGTGTTTGCACCGCCAATAATATTGTTCGATAAAAATAGACACTCCGAGAACCTGTTATTTCTATTTGTTCGAGTCTGTCCGTTGTTAGGTAATTGTTAATTTATAGCTATTCGTTCTACACCGCGAAATCTCTGTCCCCAAAGCTGCTTGAATATACCCGACGATCTATAGGAAATTTATTGTTAATAAAAGTCGCGGGTCGATCCCGCTGGTTGTTTTCTTCGACAGGGCACATCCACCATGATTCTTCTTTTTCTTGTCGGAGAATGGCAAGGCTGCGCGGCTATGTAAACGATTATTATAGCAACGGTTGCATAGCGTACGAAGGATGATGTCAACGACAACGTTTAATCAATGTACATACATAACAAATGGTTCTTCGAAGTTGCTAATTTTTGGCTCGTTTTTATAACGCTTTGGCTCAGGGACACAGAAAATTACAGATCGTTACCGTTATCTTTACTCGGTTTCTGAGCAGATAATTTACTGTCAAGCCGTGTCCATTTACAGAACCGTGAAATTGGTATTAAAATATACCCGAGTTACGAAATGATTCGAACGACGCCGATATGCCTGCACTTGAAACGTTATACGTTCTTCCGGTTGTTTTATTTTCACCGATTTCTTCAACTTTCTGCTTGTACACGTTCCCCAGAAATTTTGGAAAATTGTTCAGTCCCAAATCCTGGGAATTTTATAAATCTTCAATTTTTTTTTGCTGGCCTCGAATATTTTTAATTCTTTCTAGTAACGAAAGGTTAAAACGACGAGATAAATTCATAATTACGTTGTAAAACATTTCGTACTATTTTGTTAAGTAACAAAAGCGTTTATTTAATTTCAGAATGCCCAAAACAAAAGACATCGCCAGGGCGGGAAGTAGTTTGTTACACTTCCGTTTCCGACGCCGAACAGCTGACCAACGCAGTCTGCAGATGCACCACTCTGGTGCATCAAGGATACGATGTGCGAAATATATCGACTTCCGGTAAGTCCATGACATTTCATGCGCAATAATTATCAGTAAACGCACGTAACCAAGCGTAATGCGATAATTTTTACGCTAAACAACGATCGTTTAAGAAGCAATTCTACGATAATCGCGACGATCGAAGCTCGGCGATTATGTCAGCTGATTTTTCATTCGTAGCGATCCGAGGTGCGGAAATATTATTACAGAATAACCGGGAAACGATAAAGGGAATTCTTGGAAACATATTGTTACAAAATTGCAGGGCATTTATCACTTCCGTGATTGAATTATGGACTTAATAATTCATATAGCATTTACAAATGTAATCACCACTATTCCGTGGGAGATAATTTGTATAAAAAATGAATTTATACGAATGATGAATCCTTCGAGACTTCGACTTTTTCTAACTGCTAATTCTCTTTTTTAATTATTTTCAATTACAATTTTAATTTTAAAATCCCATCATGATACTTGTCTGAAAACAGTTTCGATCATTTTCAACTATGGAACTCTTAAATAACAGGAAAATATTTTCAATGATATTTAAATATACTTTTGCATGCTACAGAAACATAATATAATATTTGAGAAATCTATGATGACCATTTTCACTGTCGTTAGAAATTTTTACCAATGACAGTAACAACACTGTCGAGTATCATAATATCGTGAGATTCGAGAGATTAAATTTTTCAAGATTGCGTAAACCCCGTATCCATAAAGATGCAACCACATCCTTGAACTTGCAACAGGATATCGAGACCTGACCACAACGAACGTATTTTCTTACAACCGTCTGGCATCCATCAGAAATTCGTTTCCACTTTTCCGTTATTAAAATGTGAACATTAATAAATTTGGACCTCGAAATTTTCGATGTTTAAATAAAAAAGAAATTGTGCACATCTGTCGTCACATTTTAATTATAATAAGCATATCATTGTTATTTTGCTATCGTTTGAAGTTTGCCACAATTCTTACACCTGCTGGCTATATCACTGACCACGCGTAATTATGCCATTACCTTCCAGACGTGAAAACTATCTTTATCTTCGTGATTAATGGACGATCGTCACCGTTTTAATTAATGATGTCGAGCAAGTTTCAACGACATTTCGCGAACGTCATCGAGTTTTATCGACAGACTTAACGACTGCTAAACATTTCAGTTAACAATATAATAAATTTTCTACCACTTAAATGCAACAAATAACAGCAATTTATATTAAACTTAGTAACAAATTTTTTTTTTTGTTCAAACAATAAAAGATGTATAATAAATTAATATTTGAAGAAATCATATATGCAAGTTTCTAATTGGAAATGAAACAAAGTGAACGAGTTTCCTTGAACTCTTGTTTGAACAATAAGCGTTCGAAAGGAGCTGAAGCTTGTCGAATCGGAAGTGTGTTCGGAATTCATAAAATCGAGGTAGACATCGTTAAAGTATGCATACGACACAATATGCTCGATGAATATGTATTCATGCCGATAAGTCGCGTTCATGTTTGTCGATCACCAGATATTTTGCACTTTTCGTCTCGCCAATCAAATTCTGATACATCGATGATTCGCGCTTATAGATTCGTGGATCGTATCGAGAGTATTACGTTGCATAATTTTAGTTCTCTTACTTTGGGCCTTACGATGATATTTACATACGAGGCGTCGAAGCGAATCCACGGATCGATCTCGTATTGGAGAATCGAAACGAATGTTTACGAGTGTAATCAAAACAAGCATTTTTTAATCAATCGTAATCTTATCAGAACGTGACTCTGGATATGATTTTACCATTAAAATTCCATCGAAATTGTAGTATAGTAATTAGAATATCTCATATTAATAAAATTAAAATATGAAACTGAACTCGATGATAAGTATAGAGAATTCGATATAATTTGACGTCATACGACCAATCAGTTTCTGGCGATAAGTAATCGCAATAAACATGCCAGGCCTTGGGTTGTCATTAAATTTACTTTTTTTTTATAAGGTAAAAAAAATTCCCTTTAAAAAAGCCCGAAACGGTTTCGAAACGTCGTCGAAATCAATTCGTTATACATATATAAGAGAGAACGATGGCCAACTGATTACAGTGTCACGCAAAATTCGACGTTCACCGTTGAAAAAGGAAGGGAAAACCGTGGAACAAGAAGAACGAGGACGGAGGCGACAACGTGAACCGCGTTTGTGACATAATCGCGCAAAAACAAACTCCTACTTAGTTGACTCTTTTTTTTTTTCCACGCTTTCGTTTCTCGCCACAAATGGTTGCACTCGGATGATGCTTGTTTTCGAGAACAAACATTTCAGCGACAATCAAAATTAAACTGTAATAAAATAACGTTTAGGTTTGAAGATTCAGCGACACTTCAGAAATAAATATGTAATTTTAACATTATATTATTTATTTTATATATTCTTCTTTGCAACACTCAGGATTATTTTCTATATCACTAGTCGACTTTGAGGATCTATGAAACGATCTATAGTAATAGACTTCGAATCATTTCATCTACACGTTGACGATAATTAGAGAATTTCGAGATGAAATTAATTTCAAGACATAATTTTGTTTTCGCATATACTTTATTCGGCCTATCGATGAATTTTCGATACAATTTTTGTTAATTTAATCGCGGGTTACGCAACGAAACAGGTCAGACTTGTTATTCGAAATAATTGCAGCCTGCAAGTGGAGTAAATCGTCGGGGTCCTGTGCCAATTATTATCTAAAGATTATTGCAGTGAATTATTACGATTCGATTTCGAAAAATGCCACGTGTCTTTACGAATTCGTGCATGGGTGTGGCTAATGAAATGCCAAGACCGTCGAAAGTGGTTCCTACAGATGATCCAGATGTAACAAATATCACTTTCCCTCGCGTTCCGGCTAAATAATATTTAGAGTGTCCATTCTTTCTCGATCGAGATTTAATCTCGACATCGAGAGTGATCGTTTACGATTTTTTTCATTCGAGGACCGAATTCAATAGAATTCATTACTAAGGACAATTACAGCGGGGACCTTTTTAAACCTGGCATTTTGTACGAGGAATATATATCCCTGGTCGACAATAATTACTCATGAACGAAATTATGGAAAGATATGCATTGAAAACACGAGTGGACCGTAAAAGATGGAGATTTTGTCAAACCAGTTTTTGTATGCATTCTCACACGTAACTTCGAAGGAAAGTAGAGTGTAATGTAATCCTTCGTGCAGTTAGATTGTTATCCGATTGGTACTGAAACTGTAATTCTACGATAAAGATTATTTTTTTTAATTTTAACGATTTACGAATTTCTTTGACTAACAAAAAACGACGATTTGTGCTCTTCGGTAGAGCTCGTTTAATTACAGGAGCACGCGAAAGTTCTTGATTAATTGTGCGCGATGATTTCGTTTCATTAAACAGCATCGTGTGCCGTGATCAGTGTATTACGAGATTGATAATTACGCGGAAAGGATAGCGGGATTTTTGTTACAAAAGTTCTTTTTAACCGTTGTCGTGAAATTTACTACGCAATTAATTTAAAAATACAGCGCCAGGAAAGCGAGAAAAAATTCTTGAGATTCCACGAAACGTACAGGCGACACGTAGAAACGTATGAACAAGATTTAGAGCACTAGGAAGTAAAATATGGGACGCGTTATTACGAATAAATCGCGACGGATGTTGCGATAAAAAATGAGCAAAACTGCTTTAGTCCTGTGTTTCAGTCGTATCGTGCAAAAATTATGAAAAAATCCAGTTTGCTATATTATTTAGACTTAAGTCATTTTATATATCTACAGAAACGTGAGTCGATTGGTCAAATAATTTTTTTAAATAACCTCTACCAATTTGGAAAATATCTCTTTGAAGTTGAAATGATAGACAAACACGTGTTTTGCAGGATTCGAAAGTTTTCAAGAATCATTGAAAAGGATCAGTCCGTCTCTTCAGTTCATGATTTCCGTGGACGACCCTGGAAAAACGCTGATGACTTCCGGCACAGTCCGTCAAGAGATCGCCGCTCGTTTGATCGGAATACTAACAGAGGCAATATCACATTTCTATATCAGCATCGACGTAAACATTTTCAGTTGACTATTATTTAACAATGTTCCTTCGTTCGAACAGGTCGATGGAGTTGAATTGAACATGACGGCAGGCTCGAAGGAACGTTTGGTGCACTTTATGAAGGATCTAAAGAACGAGTTGAAGAGAAAATCTTACGACAAGAGGATCTTTTTGGTTCTGCCAAGCAAACCGGAGGATCTTGGGAAGCAGTTCGAGTTGAAGGAACTCTCCAAGTGAGTAAAGTGGTGTGCCTAAATGTGAATATAAAAATTTCGTATTGATATTTTCGCGTGAAAACCGTAACGAATTAGAAACGTTTGTCGATGGCGCAACTGAATATTTTCTAAGGACTTTCTTGCTGTCTGTGGAGCTGGTCTTTCGCTGCCGATAAAACGCAACTTTGTCGAACGTGTTCATGCAAAACCGGTAAAGTTTCTAAAGAAGCGTCGTTGAATGCGTCGACGGCACGACCGTCTTATGAATTATTGACCAAGGGAGCAAGTGAGAACAGATTCAGTAAAAAAAAAACTGCTCATCTATGTTCGGTGTATCTGCCTAACCTTGTGCCAGTTGCAAAGTCGACAGCGCGTTAGGAATGCTGTGACAATCCGATGCACCAGTTGAACGAACGATTGTTCGCGGATGACGAACCTTTACAATTAGTAGACGAACCGTTCACGATTTTTTCACTGAATATGGATGGAAGTCGCGTGCAACGCCCGGCGAGAATGCGAACGAGAACGAAAGTTGTCATCGATGCGTACGGCGAGAGAGATTGGCTTCTACGAATAAATTTCGATGCTAATTAACCGAATTACGCTGCGTTACTAGAGACAGAAATTAAAAATTTTCTGGAGTCTAATTTTGTATCATCAAACCCTTGGAATTGCTCACGAAAACGAAGCTTTGTTTCTAGACAGTTGGAAACTCTTTTAAAATTCAAGACTCCTATCTAGATTTCTTTTCTTCAACATCTAAACTTGAGAATTAATTTTTTAAGCTCTGTGATAGTCCCATATTAAGGAATTGCCTAAATTTTCCAACGTTCATGTGTATCATATTTGTAAACATTGCTCGAATCTCCTATCAACCAGTTAAGTCAATCCTAGTCAGCGTCCATAGGTAATTTGCACTGCACAAACAGTTGCACGCATATTTCATCGAATATGGATGAGTTGGATGCATTCGAAACAGTTCGTGAAATATGAATGAGACTGCTCTGAATACTTCGAAACGAGAGTTTCTAACAACGGTTATCATCTTATGAACCGATCAACGCGTTTAAATGTATTATGCGCATACACCTAGTCTTGTAATCTGTTGCGTTTATCGTCAGGTACGTGGATCTATTCACGGTCCCGACGCATTACTTGGTCGAAGATGACGCGGACTATCATACTTTTCATCCGTCGCGATTGATGGGCCTGTTTGATATGTTCAACGCGGACAGTCTGATCGATTTGATCAACGGATTGGGGGCGCCTAAAAGAAAGACACTGGTGTCGGTGCCGGCCAGTGCTTACAAGTTTATTTTGAAGGATCAGGACGACAATGCCCCGAGATCATTAACCGAAGAGATACAGCCGGTTATCATTGATCAGAAACAGGTGTGAAGCCGCTCTCCGCGAACTTTATCGACATTCTATCAAGAATATGCAAAGATTACGACACACGGCTGAAAACGATGAATTATTTAACGAGTTATTTCTTTCGTTTCTCCTTAGCTCTGCGATCTGATGAACAAAGGCGAATGGACGGTCGAAAGGGACGAAGATCTCACCGCGCCCTACGCTTTCAAGAATAAAACCTGGATCGCCTTCGAGGACAAGATTTCCATCGCGATAAAAGTATATCTTAATTGCAACGTGATCTCTATATTTACTATGAATTTGTGTTTAATACGAGATAAATGTTTCAGGGGAAATACGCGTTGCTCCGGAACTTGCCAGGACTCGCCATACGAGACATAGAAAATGATTTCGAGACGAAGTGTGGTAAACCGCTGACTCACGAAATTCACCACTCGTTCACAGATTTTAAGAGGAAGACCAGAGCGGCCGTTTTGAATGCTTTGGAAGATGATTTGCATGTAACTAAAAATTATCATGATAACCGAGTCACGTCTGAATGTTAACATCGATCGCTAAGTACGGTATCCTTTCCAAAAAATTGTCTGGAAAAAATATTCCCGGACCTTTGAGTCTCTTGAATATTAGAATTGGCTCGAAACTTAATTTGCAAAATTTTATGGTTTCGATATAAAATTCGAGAATTCGAGTATCCGTCGGTACTACGCCTTTCACCGAAGCCTCAAACCTCGCTAGGTGTATCAGTAGATGGCGATACGTATTTAATTCCAATTGTTGTTAAATTTCAATAATCAACAAAACTAAGTGTAAAATTATATTCAATAGCTATTAGGAATTATTTAAAAAATCGAAGTACCATTCGTGACTGTTCCGCGAAATAAATAATTATCGTACATTTGTTTCTAATTGCAGCAAACTCAACTCAGTTATTCAACAAAGGTCAGATCCTCCGAATTTCGAGTTGTTCGAGTAGTGGACACCGACGGAAACATTCAAGCGGTTCGCGAGAACACTCAAACTGAATTCACTTGCTCGAGGCAAGGCTACTTTGTCCACCCAAAGAGTTGCAACAGGTACTTGAACCAAGATTGTTGATCAATTAATTATAACAAAGTATATTCGACGCTGCTTGATTACCAAATTTATCCCTGCAGATTTTATCGTTGCGTTAAGTTCAATCAAGAAATAGAAGACTATTCTGTGTTCGAGTTCGACTGTCCAGCGGGTCTGGCCTTCGACGAACGTACGGAAGTTTGCGTTTGGCCAGGATCGCTGTCGCAAGGATCCCCGTGTCCTGGAAGCAGCGAAATCGCGCCTGTGGCTCGAGTAAGGTTCGAATGTCCGTCCAAGCCTGGCTACTATGCGGATCCTCAAAATCCTCGTTGGTTCTTCGCCTGCATAGATCTAGGTCTCTATCTCTTATTGCATAGACTGTTAAGTTACTACTAATCAACTTATTAATTGAAACTTGTAATGACAGGTGGTCCTGAAATGATGGCATACGAGTTCCGTTGTCCATTTGGTCTGATCTTCGACGAAGAGAAGTTTGTGTGTGAATGGCCCTGGTTAGTGAGAGGCTACTCTGGCAATGGTTATACCAGCACGGAATACGACTACAGAGGATCAGATGGTCACTCTACCATTGGTATCGGTGGTCAATCTACTGGAGGTATCGGTGGTCACTCTACCGTGGGTATTGGTAGTCAATCTACCGCGGGTATTGGTGGTCACTCCACTGTGGGCTCTACCTTTGGTATCGGTGGTCAATCTACTGTTGGTACTGGTGGATACTACACTGGACATCTGCCTCATGGATATACAGGAACAACGGGCTTCCAACATGGCGTGTATTCTGGCACAACAGCCAGTGGAACAGGATTCTCAGGATTCTCTGGAGCAGCTGGCGCTGGCCACGCGGGATCTACTATTGGAAGTCATGGTACTTTTGGCCAAGGATCGACTGGATACCAAGGAACAACAGGAAGTCACGCGGGCGTTGGTGGCTTCCATGGAACTGTTCCTGGAGGTTACAGCGTCTCCGAAACCACTGATAAAACAGGATCGATCGGTGGAAGCTACGGTGGCTCGACTGGTGGAGGATCGTTAAATACTGGCTACGTTGGATCAACGAGTGGAGTGTACTCTGGAACAGCTGGCGTTGGGTACACAGGATCCACCACTGGAGGTCACGGTACTTTCGGCCAAGGATCGACTGGATACCAGGGAACATCTGGAAGTGGGTATTCTGGGTCGCCAACGGGAAGTCATGGCACTTTTGGCCAAGGATCGACTGCGTACCATGGAACATCTGGAAGTGGGTATTCTGGATCGACAACAGGAAGTCACGCAGGCGCTGGTGGCTACTACGGAACCGTTCCTGGAGGTTACAGTGTCTCGGAGTCTACTGATGAAACAGGATCGAACACTGGCTACGTTGGATCAACGAGTGGAATATACTCGGGCCACGCAGGATCTGCCGGCACGAAATATTCAGGAACAACTGGCACGGGTCAAGTATCCTCCGGGCCAGGATACGCAGGGTCAGGTGGCACAGTGCACTCGGGAACAAACGGAATCTATAGTGGAACGACTGGTACAGGCTACACAGGATCGTCTTTCACTGGCCACGGAACTGATTCAGGGTCCAGAACAGGTACTCACGCGGGAGCTGCAGGAACGAGCTACACGGGCTACGATAACAAAGGATATACAGGATCTACCGATGGTGTGTACTCAGGATCGGCTGGTGGTCATTCTGTATCCACTGGAACGACTTATGCGGGGTCTGTTACCAAAGGGTACGGAGGATCTAGTGGAGGATATGGAGGATCCACTGGGGCAAGTTACACAGGATCTCCTGCTAAAGGATATGGAGGATCTACTGGGCCAAATTACGTAGAAATGCACTTAGGAGGACATGGAGGATCGACTGGGACAACTTACGCGGGGTCTGATACTAAAGGATACGGAGGATCCAGTGGAGGGTATCCAGGATCCACTGGAACAAGTTACACGGGATCTCCTGCTAAAGGATATGGAGGATCGACTGGGACAACTTACGCGGGGTCTGATACTAAAGGATACGGAGGATCCAGTGGAGGGTATCCAGGATCCACTGGAACAAGTTACACGGGATCTCCTGCTAAAGGATATGGAGGATCGACTGGGACAACTTACGCGGGGTCTGATACTAAAGGATACGGAGGATCCAGTGGAGGGTATCCAGGATCCACTGGGACAAATTACGTGGACTCTCATTTAGGAGGACACGGAGGATCTGCTGGAACGACTTACGCGGGATCTGCTACTAAAGGATACGGAGGATCCACTGGGACAAGTTACTCAAGATCCGGTACTCAAGGATATGGTGGATCGACGAGTGGTTACAACGCTTCGACAGTAACATCTGTAGGTTACTCGGGGGCACCTAGTCTAGATGACTTTCCAGGGCCGTACGAAAATCCAAACACACCAAAAACGCAACAAACGTTTGGCACGCGAACGTCTCAGGGCCCGTACGATCATCCTTCTGAAACAACACGACGACCTCGTAAGTATTCACCATAAACCGCATTTGCTTTTCATTTGCATCGAACTGAAATGTTTCTTTGCCCCGATTCAGTGTATCCTGGACAAGTGGGAGTGTCGACCACGTACTTTGGCAATACTGGAACGAAGGGATACGGACAAGGTGTTGCATCGTCCGGTACTACTGGTTACCAAAGTGGTAGTGGGTACACAGGTGGTTTCATAGGAGGCCCTGCCACGACGTACCATGGAGTTAGTACACCCACTATTAGTTATGGTACGTCAGGAACTGGTACTCTCGTGACAGGAACTAACGTCCACGGGGCAGTTATTACCGGAGACTCTTCTCCCGGAACTATCGTCACTTACGGAGGCACCCCTGGCACGGTAATTTCAGGATCTTCCGATCAAGGTGCCATAGTAACCGGAAGCAGCTATCCAGGTTACGTCACGACTGGCACAGGTACACCTGGTTACGTAGTCAGCGACGGAGTCAAGACTGTGTATCATGGTTCCAGTCCTGGAACCACAGTTTACGAAAGACCTGCAACGAATACCGATCATATAGGTCCAAACGCGTTCGATGGTAACGTGTCAGGATATACAAAAACATCCTCCGAAGGCTACGACAACGTTTACTCTGGACATACGTCGACGCGGCCCCAAGACGCGACCCATATCGACACATCTAAAATTACTTTGGGTCCGTCAAAGTCTCCTGGCTACTCGTACACCGCGCCAAACGTTCCGTTCAAAACGGGAATGACATCCTCTACGGGAACACCGGTTGCTCCTACAGAGGGCAACGTGCTCACTGCGACAACTCCGACGCCATTCTTGAACGTCGAGGTGTACAAGTCACCGAAATTCGGTTCCACGGGCACACCTGGCATCGTGAAAACCTACACGGAAGAACGGTACCAAGGATCGGCTCCTTCCGGTTTCACGCGTGCACCAGTCACGACTGTCTCGCCTCTGAGCTACACAACTGGATCTTTTGGAGGAGCAAAACATCCAGTTGCGACGTCCACGGGTCATCCAGTATTCGATACTGGGTTCAACACTGTGTCTTCGACACCAGCGCCTGTGATAGATCACGACAAATTTGGTGGAAACATTCAAGATGGATCGACGTTTGCCCAAAACCAGTTCGATTTTGGAACGAGGATCACGCAACACGGGAGCTACAGGAACCAAGACGGTTATGGTTCTACCACGACGCCTTCGATATTCGGTGGATCGTCTACAGTTCCATCGGTAAATAAATAATTACGAATATAGCTTATCAGTAACTAAAAATGTTATCTTTCGTAACGTTGCAATGTTATCTTTCAGCCTGATTATGTATCCAGCACGTCTGGTCATGGATATTACGATTCCACTTCGAGGAGCTCGTTCGACCAAAGGGTGACACCTTCTGGTATTCCCAAAACAGTGCAACCACAGGTAAGTTTCAAGATATCTTTCCTAAGATCGACACGATCGTGAAATATATTTTCAATTTCAGACTCAGTATTTGCCAACCGATTATGGTTCGTCGCACTACCAGTCATCGTCTCCTGCACCCCAGGTTCCAGTCAGAGGTTCGACAAACGTAGGTCACAACAGAGGCACTACGCAATATGTTCCGAATCAATACGACGTATACACGTCAGGATCAAGCTCCAGAGACTTCTCCAAAACGCAGACGTCCTCCTCGTCGACGTTTGGACAGAACTACGGTCACTCTACACCTTCTTCCGTCGTTTCGTACCAAAGCACTGCCAAACCCACGGACGTGGGAAAGGCTAAAGTGATCGTGAAGTGGAGCGACCTGCATCCTCTTCTCCTGGGCAAACTTGGAGCAGAGTGCACCTGTCGAGGAGACCCCTTCGCCAACCTCCGGGGTCCAGGTTCGAAACTGATAAACTCGTCCAAAGGCAAGGTGGACCTCTCGAACTACGACGAATCCGAGATCTACGTGGATCTCGAAAAGGATGTCTCCTACGAGAACAGTGACGAGTCCACGTCGATAGGACCGGTTAAAATCTGGACAGACGAGACGCCTGTTTCTGGAGTTTCTCAGATCCAGGAGAAACCGTCGTCGGTTTATCTGCCGAGCGTGACTCCATCAGCTAACAGACGCGTTGGCCATACGGATTCGTCGATATTTTATATCAGAGGCACCTCGCCCAGAGGCTTCGGTTTCAGATCTGGGAAGAGTCTGAGCAACGATGGACCTTCCGTGAACGCTGTCAGCAATGGACCTTCTACAGAGGATGATAGCAATAGACGTTCCACGAATAAGATTGACAGTGGCGAGTCTTTCCATGCGTACGGACCTGGTGGACTCGGTGATTCGGAGGAGGTCCTCGATGGAGCCACCAATTGCGCCAGACCAGGACTGTTCCGACACCCCAACTTCTGCAACAAGTTCTATGCTTGTCACTGGGACGAATGGAAGAAGAAGTTCACGCTTCACGTGTTCAGCTGCCCGGTACATTTGACGTTCGACGGCGGCATGGGCGCCTGCAATTGGCCGAGCATGGGGCCAGCTTGCCAGGACGATAACTTATTAGTTTAGATGGTTAGCTGTCGACGAACAGCCGATCGATCTCAGATACCGCGGCGTTCTCGTATCACGGAAGAACTTGGTGTGAATTTGTTACCACGTGGCTAGAGCTTGCGCAATTATTTATATTTGACGATCATTCGTTCGAACTTTAATAGTTCTGCCTAGTTCGGTAGTAAAATAGAACGTTTCATTTTGAATCCTTGGAAGCATCACTTTGGAAAGATTGCGATGAAAATTGATATTGTAAATTTTTAATAGTCTCTCTCACGAAAATGATATTTTTCTACACGAAATTTTCTATACGTATAAGGTATGTATAGTTTGAATCGAAATTTGACGAGAAAGAATGGATTTTTGTTCAACATGCTGTTCCTTTTACAACTTTAGATTACTTTTATTTATTTTGATTTATCTGATACTTTGCTTAGAATTATCAAAACGAGAGATGTCGTGCCAAACGTGGACGTAAGTTTATTTATAGAGGGAAAGTAAACCAAGCCAGATGCGAACACAATATATTTTAGTGAAGATAATAACGAAAAGACACACTTACTCCTTTCTTAGACATACTACCTCCCTTACGACAGAACCAATTAGGTGGCCACACGGAAGATGAGGATATTTTCCAATACACTTCGTATTCTTTTAACCTTTCTCTAAACTGAACGAGCTTGATGTGTTTGGAATTTTTCGTAAAGTTTCCCTTTCTGTCCATTTATAGGTCCACACAGTTGTCTGTACAAAACTAACAAGAGCTTCTGCATCTCCATTTTCGTTGCACTTCGATTGTAACATTTTCGTCCGATACAAATATTTGAGTACCCTCAAAGTGTATTTATAGTCGGTTTCGTCGTAACGATTCCGGAACCCTCTTAGACAGTTAACGCAGGAGATATCTGGTCGAGTTCCAGAGCTAATATACTATATTAATGCTCCGATTAAGTTCCGATATTCAATATCGGGATTTATTTTATCCGCCGGTTCTAGTTTTAACTTCGTCTCTATGGGAGTATCGTATAATCTAGAATAATCTATCCCATGTTTCTCAGCTACTGACTCAATGTAATTTCTCTGGCTTAAATTTAATATATTATTATCGTCTGAATATTTACACTTCATTTCCATACTTGCGTAACTCTCGATCCTACCTCTTTCATCCTAAACTCGGATAATCTCTCCTTAATATCGTGGATCTTTGATCATTGGAACATGGACTTTGTTGAAATCTTAATTAATTTTGTTTCGAAAAAATAATCTCAAGCATGGAAAATTTTACATATGCTAAGAGAACAAAATAGAATTTGTCACGAAACTACGGTTCTCGCTTTAGACGAATGATATTAATTCTGTAACTTTACTTTGAAAGATAATACTAATATCGTTATGATTTCTGGCTTGAGCTGTATCTTTTACGAAACTTGTTTAACAGTTGTTTAATTATCTGAGCACACGGACACCCGACAACGAAACTAGGCGTGAGATAACGTTTAATTCTAACGAGGTAACGGTTCACGCTTAATTTCTTTGCATACCGTCGAGGCTCGCGGAATGAGCATATCAGAATGCTTTCTCGAGGTAACGAGGTCCAAGACAAAGAAGAAGAAAGATCCAAGGCGATCGAGGTACAGCGACGCGAAAGCACGCTGTTCAGAGTGAAAGTCAAGTTGTGCTCACCGATCCAAATCGCAGGAACTCAATGGCGTGTGCTGTTCGATGTCGCCCGGTGTAATTGTAAATAACGTCACTCTTCGAAATTTTTAAATATCGACTCGCTGTCCTCTGACGAAAAAAAAAGATCAATCTACAGTATCGACGACCGGGAGAGAGAATCGACAAGAAACTCGGTACAAAATAGTACTTGGACTATTTCATTTAATATTCCAATATAAGCATTCACAATTAAATAAAAATAAAATTTTTAAAAAAGGACATAAAAAATCGAGTAAAAAAATTTGACAAGTTCTAACCCTGATCTGAGTTATGTCGGTTGAACTGGAGAATGATTGGCAACTTTGTATGTATTTATAGAGTGTACGTATCGATAACGCAGTTTGCATAACTGATAATTCCCCTCGAATTTGTTTACTTTCTTTTCCGGGTTTCTCGAACTTCCTGGCAGAGGCAGGAAGTTGATCTTAATATTCTTCGGGCGCTACTTAAAGTTCTTTTAACTCTGTGTTCGTCTCTGACTTCGTAATACAACGAATTTAGAATAAATATAAGATTCTATAGAAATAATACAATTCGTTGCTCCAAATCCAAATCATTTCAATACCTGTAGAGTAGCTCGAGATATGGTTTGTTTGCGAACTTAAGCAAAGCAAAATAGTGTGAACTTGTCGTTTGTTTTAATAGCCCGAGGCTGAACTTTCGTTTGTTCTATATAGTCGAGGCGTGGTGACTTTCCATTTAATGATGAAGACGTTCGTGCAATCACGATGACCCCTTAAGCGAAATTATTGATAAAAGCGATCGGGGTGAATCATTTGGGGCATAATACAATAATTAAAAATCCAACTGTCATAATACAGCGATCGATGGAAATGAAAATCACGGATGCTTTATGGTTCTTTATAATTACAATTATTGGAAACGAGTGCAGTACTATCTACTATGAATCTATTCAGATCACATTTGAAATTGTATATATATCTGTCTTTGTCATATCTAGTCGTAAGTTTGCAACCAAACAATTTTTCCCTTATAAATCTTATGTGTGATAGCCATCGATGATGAAATAGGTTGAATAATTTCATACTACAATTCTATATCGTAGCCTTGATAGGTGGAAAGTTTTATTAACTGTATATAGGAACGTAACTCGCGTCTCGCAGAAGGCGTCGGAATAGAAACGCGAATAATAAATATTTTGCATGCAATGAATTTAGTGTATCGACCCTTTACGCTTTCTCTTTTCGTTTGATCGAACTAAAAGAGTTTCCACAATTTCTTGACTCGATCGATCAATCCAAGAAATTATTGTTGCAAGTGTTACAAAGTAAATGTGGACTGCAAATGGATATCCGGAATTTTGTATTATTTATTACAGTGGTAACTGTCAAAAAATGTGTCGATAATGAGGATATTTTATCTTGTCTCTTTTGACTTTCGAGATGTTGCATGCGCTGAAGAAGGAAATTGTGGATCCGGAGGAGGAGGAACGAAAAAGGGGGTCAATGGAAATAAACTCTATCTCCGGTGACCCACTGATACATTTTCGTCGCCTCCGTATGGGAAAACGACACACAAACATAGTGATTCGAGTTTTCTTTTTAATTGTGACATAATTATCCGGGATATAAAACTTACGTACTCGTTTCTCAACGATTATGTTTTTAATATCTCTTACTATCTCCGTTTATATAATCCTTTCAGTGCTCTCAACTGTTTAGTTTTTCAATTTTCCAGTTTTCTTATGTATTATTCTTTTTATAGACGAAGTGAATTTCCATTTGTTATAGAAAATCCTGTGTAAAATAATCGACTACGAGATTTTGTGTAACTAGTCACAGAATTGAACATAAGTGATCATAACTAATTCACTTTTTAAAAAATCGAAAGTGCTTCAGAACTGGTGTTTAGCCGGCGAACATAATATGGACCCGAAGAACAACTTGATATAAAGTAGATAACACGAATCGAAAGCCAAAGTGAAAGTTAATTTTCGTGACAAGAACCAATCAGTACCTTGGAATGTAACTATGTTTAGATCCACAATTTATCATATTATTTTCCCCATACGACCACGTATAATTATAATAGAAAATTATTTAACGTTTGCTGTTCAAATGTATTACGTAAATTGCACAGTAAAACGCATACATTACTCAGTCAATTAAAAGGAAGTCATCGAGCCATGCAATTTTAAACGAGATAATAAGAAATTATAAATAAACCTGTTATTGACCTAATCTGCAACAGGCCCATTGCTTCAGAAGTTCGCAACAGAATAATTTCATTAAAATAGAGATTCGATAAAGCTATCGAATATAAAATAATTGCTAGCCATTAGATTATCCGCTGCGTGTATGGTTAATTAATTTACACCGTCCTGGTTACCATTGTGTTTAATCCTAACGAGGGTATTGTATGCCAGAAGAGAAAATTCATTTCCATTCATGATGCGTTTGACGATGAGTTTTCTAAATAATCACAAGGTATTCACCAACACCCGACATTACGCATAATACATAGAATATTATTAACTCGGTAGCGTTGTACGAAAATGTCACCAGAACGACAAATAACCGCCTCGGAGAAAGAACGAGGAAAGCAAAAGAACATAAATAGTGGAGTAATTACATTCGTGATTTTACTACTGCCATTAATAATTCTTCATTGCGGAAGAATACTATTTATAAACTGATCAAAATAAGTAAAATTGTTATTCTCAGGGCCAGTTCTGCGAATTGATTGCTCAATTAAAATCGTACGGTTTTAATTTTCGATTTTACGTGTTGCAAATAATCGCGACGATCTGCCCAATTACGTAACAAAAATGCCATTCAACGAGCACAGGAAACATCAATGAACAGCGAACGTTCGCGTAATTCACATTCTTTATACAAACTTTTAAATACGTACGATATTTTTTATACGTTGATAAAACAAAATAGGGAGCTTTTTACACCACCTTTGATAAGCTCGAAATGATTAAATATGGTCCCTTTCAATCGTCGATATTTTGTACATTCTAATTACTTTAAAAATTCTAATTACCGTGTAACTTTCTCAAAATCTATATTTTGCTTTTTAAACCACCTTTGATAAGCTCGAAATGATTAAATATGGTCCCTTTCAATCGTCGATATTTTGTACATTCTAATTACTTTAAAAATTGTAAATTGCCGTGTAATTTTCTCAAAATCTATAGTTTGGGTCCGAATGTTGTTCCATCGAGTGTCTCCGAAATTACGAAATTTCTTCCGCGGGACATTTCCATGAGAAACAGAAGTCGTATTAGAAAGTAAAGTTCAATTTTCCATCCGCGACACCGTTTGACGGCGTATCAGAAAATTTGCCTGTCGGGGCAGCCGGTAATCCGACTGTCGCTATCTGCTTGTCTGTTCTAACTAATACCGGGACAGAGTGGGGGTTTACGAGCAGCACTTGACACGAGGAAAGGAAAGGCGACGTGACGATGGAGGTGAAGACTGGAGGTGGCGTCAAGACCAAGCAGTTCGGGCTCCAAGGTAATATAAAGGCGTACGTCGACTTCACCTGGTTTAACTTACCTGGAACACCGAACAGCTGCGCTGTCCAGCACGGCTAGGAAGTCCGCCACTGCCACACCACTTTCTACCATCATGTAAGTCCCATTAAATCATTTAGGTGACTCTAATCGTTCCGTGATTTCGTTTCGACTCGATAAGCGTTTAAAAGTGTTGAAAGAAGCCTCTACTCGACGCAGTTAAACGTTTCGACCACTGTTTGGGTTTGTTACAAAGTTAATATGAACCTAACATACGTTGAAAGTGGTTTCAATTCGATCGAAAAGGAAGAAGAATAATAACAAGCAGGGTAATCGTAATAATACCAACTCTAATTTAATTGGTAAAAATTAACGAAGCTAATATAATGTTGAAATGTCTAAAATTTGAAGTCCGAATATGTTTATTTGATTCTACTTGCGTCGCAGCTGCTACGCAGTTGCGATTAATCGCCAGTCTGTCAACCTGTACGTCATCGTTCTGGTTTCTTTCCACTCGCGCCAAAACTTTAATTCAAATATCCAATATCGCCACAATTTTTATTTTCGATCAATGAAAAAGGCAGAAATCCAAATAAATTGGACAAAGTCTGATCAAAGTTTTGAGTTATTATTGTACACAAATAAAAATTGTGTTCCTTCTTTATCGAATATTTGTATGCCAGATTGGAATAAATATTTAACCATGAAAAGTATTTTAACGTCACCTGTAACACACCGTATTGCAAACGAACTTGATCAATTTATTATTCGCTTGCTTCGTTACAAAGAGACATTCTATTTGACGTAATTTGGATTACGTTTCAAGAACATGCGTCGAATAGTGCAACGTAACAGACCCGATATTTGTCTCATGAATATTTACTATCTGCACGGGGAACGAGAATAACTTGTATACTTTTAATAATTTTTTACACGTTTAATTTGCTCCTTTCGCGTATATGCCAAATGCACAAGATATTTTTCAGCAATTTTAAAATTACCTTTAAACCTCGTTTATTAGAATAACACATTATAATACTGAGAATCTTCACAATGCATCAAAATGGTTGCACGTAGTGCAAACGAGTTTTATCTTGTTAAATTAGATTCTACGATAAGTGGATCACATCACATCGTATTATGATGCAGATGTTGCATAAGATGGCCAGTATTAAGTTTCAACACGATCTTGAGGTTTATGTAAATCGTGACACTAAATTTCCTCGTTCGACTTCGTTAAAATTTATCGTACGCTTGGAACAAATCTTAATACCTCTTTCTAGCATCGCGAGTTGATAAGATAATTGTCCAAGAAACGATTACTAAAGAACAGAATTTGGAAGCATCGAAATAAAAACTTTGGACGACAAATAAAAGATGAAATGAAATTGTTCACAAATTATTCGAACAAAGTTTTGCCCATCTCTATTCAAGAATGAGTATCTTAAAAGTTACACATGGAAAATACATACTTAAATCGACCCCATGAATTATTTATCGTTAAAAGTTACTGACCAAATCGATCAACCAATTTGTATAGAATGTACTATTAATTCGTAAACGTTAATTTCATGGTTCGTTAAAACGTGCACGTATAAAGTGGACATACAATTAGCACAAATGATTAATGACAAATTACCAAATATCGTATAATAGATAATTACCGGTTTTTATACTTCCATTTGCACGAAAGCCTGAACAAGTTTTTGCGCAACCAGCAGATTAAGATTGTTTTTACGAACCGCGATAAAAGTTGCGGACGTAACTTCTATCTTCCGGGTCGGTTTCATCATTCGACGATGGCCTTGTCGTTCCCGCGTAACACACAGAATTCCTCCGGTAGATTAAAAAGAAGAAAAAAAATATAACGTGAAACTATTCGTATATAAACCGATGTTTATATTTAACGATGATCACGAATTCTCCGTATGGTGTTGTCATTTTGCACCGCGCAGGTGACAGAAACGTGTCGCACGTGAGATCCTCGCCTTGAAGCCCGCGAAAGTGAAAGGACTCGTGATTTTATCTTGCCGAAGTAAATGGGATTCAGGGGTTAAAAGTGCATTACGCTGGTAATTCTTGTTCTCGATATGCAATTCATTCCTGAACTTTCGTACGACCTCTTGCGACGCTTATTAATTAGATACTGGAAATAGGCACCGCGTGTTCCATTAATCATTTCTCTTTCCTTGGGAATACGTAACCGTTGGTTCTTACGAAAACGATACTTCTTTTTAGACAGCTAACGTCAAATAGAAGAAAATTTGTTGCGTCAACGTTCAAGCATTTCGTTACGATTTGAAAAACACAAAAACAGATATGGAATTAATTAAAATAGTTTAAATATGACTGTATGAATTGAAAAGTTACACGGCGTTGGATAAATAGTCGAGTTGAGTGTTTCGAGAAGAAGATGAAATTTAGGATGAATTAGCATGATTTGTAACGAATCCGTAAGACACGACTTTCTCTCGGTGCATGTAAAGTAGAAAGTTTAGGCTCGATTGGCGTGGCCGATCGCTCTTGATGGAATAAACCCTTCGTTTTGCTTTCGTCGCGCGAGCTATGCGATTAACAGACCGAGACGATCGATAGTAAATTTTTACTTGTTGCTACAAATCACTATAATATAGTACAAACGAAGAACGCGTATTGATGCACGCCCTCTTACTTTCCTGTTCCTAGAATTTGTACTACACGATTCCACGAACACATCTACTTCCGCTATACTGTTATATTTTCAGTATTACTTATGAATTCAACGACCTCCTTGATCAGCCATAAAATTGTCCGGATTAATAACAATAATACATCATTATTAGTACATATTACATGATTGTCCCAATATGGTAAAATTAAAATTAAAATAGATTTCACTTTGAATCGATTGGATATGAATAATTCTAAGGAAAATAGATTTCACCGAGAAGTGTCGTCGAAAACGAAAGCTTTTCGAGACAGAAAGACCGATCAAACGGATCGACGAGAAGAAATATAAATAGGTAGAAGGAGAACCAGACGGAGAAGTAGCCCGGAGCAGTGAAAGTCGCAAACCGGGTTGAACTTTGCCGAGAATGGTCACGCCGGTGATTTAACGCTATTCGTACGAAAAAATAAACGAGATGAAATAATAAAAATTCCCCGGACGCCTACTTGTACTCTTACGCAAGAACGAGTCGACGATTTATTTTTTTCCCCGGGACTCGCTTTAATACGAGTGCCTTGACGACCACTCCCTACGCGAGGCAAAAGTCGTTCCATGCTTTCGTCGTTAATAACAAAATTTATAGTCCGCCCGTTTCGAAACGAAGGATAAAAACCAGGAACAGGAATTTGCTGTTACAAAAGAGTTCCGATTATAAACAAAGAAGTCAACAGTTGATGAATAAAGCGATTTTACATTACCCATGATTGTGTCTATTAGCAATCAAAAACAAATTTTTAATAAAAATCGACGGGGCGCTTGAAATCTTTCGGCGGAAAAAAATTTTTTCAAATCGTTTTACAAAAATTATTTTCGGTTGCGGGGATCAATTGCAATTATTTTCGGTCAACAGGCACACCCCCGAAATCCTACCCACTTTCGAGAAAAAAATTCGAGTCTGAAGAAATTTTCAGCGAAAATAAAAACTTTCAAATCATTCTGAAAAAATTATTTTTGGATGTGGGGGCCAATTACGATCATTTTTGGTGAATAGAGATACACCCGAAATCCTACGCAGTTTCGAGAAAAAAATTCTTTACTGAAAATATGTCTGACCATACCGTTGACATGTTTCACTGAATTTTCATGAGAATCTTTAAAACATCATAACTTCTGAACGGTTTGGACGATTTCAATTTTTCAAAAGGCAAACAACGCGTATTTTAGTGGAGAATATGTAGAAATTCAAAAAATTTACGAAAAGTTGTTCCCTGACCCCGTGAAGTTAGAAAAACCCCCATAGAAATAGTCCAATTTTCAAACAGCCATAATTTCTATAATAGTAAATATATTTCAATGAAATTTTTTTTTTAAATAGAATTCATGGATACCTACAAAAAAGTACTAAACAATTTTTCCGTACAGCGTCGAACAAATTTATTAAAAATTTTTAAGAAAAATCGACATGGGGTAGGTGCTGAAATTTTTCGTGGAAATTGAAAAGTTTCAAATCATTCTGGAAAAATTATTTTCGGTTAGGGGGGGTCAATTACAATCATTTTTGGTGAATACACATACCCCCAAATTCCTACGCACTTTCGAGAAAAAAATTCTTTACCGAAAATATAATGTGTGTAAACTTTATATGTCGGATAATTTACTGTATTACGACACGGTTTATCGCGAATGCTTATCATTTCGTTGCTCGATGATATTTGCAAAAAATTACTATGAGAATAATGTTTAGTTCGATCGTCTTTTTCTATTAATAGTCGGCTATATGCGTTACGCGGAATAAATGAAGAACGAAGTGATAAGCGTTGCAAATCCATTTTATGAGTTACGAAGAGTTATCAGCGATGAGACTTAAAGCGTAGAAACGTTATGTAAATGATTACTTTGTGTAGCGAGCATTCAGGAAATGGAACGCTGACTGCATGTTGTATTATAATGGAAATGTTTCGTGTACTTACCGTATTTCTAACAAAAGAATGTTGGTTCCAGGGTGGTGTGGTCGGTGTTGTTGCTAGCAGCAGTCATTTTAACGGAGGCAGCGGTACCAGAACCGCCGACTTCCGGTATCACCACCGTCGGGTCCTTGAAATTGGCCACAGCAGCTGATTGTGCTGGTGTCGTCGCTTTTTCTGCCACCCAGGCTTCTGTAGACGTGAGTTCAAGTTTTCGATTAATTTTCGAACAAAGAACTGTCATCAGTAATTACACATTAAACATTATTCGAGTTAATTCGATCTGAAACCAAACTTCAGTTTTTAATATTTTCTTCTAAACAAACAATTCACTTCTAAACTGATAATATACTCATCTATGGAAATAATACAAAGTCAATGGTATGACAGAAGTTATTTCAAAAATAAGATCTCTTTCTAACAATTTTTCCCTCACCTTCAATAATTTGAACAAAAACCATGTAAAGGCTGTGTTTATTATCTTGAAATGAGCACCAATTAGAACAGGAATGACTTTCTCTTTTACTATCTCTTTCTAAAGACGGAGTCCTCCGCCATACAATGACTCGCGAGTTTCTTCCCATAAAAATACTCTTATTTCATAGAAGAATTGTATAATCAAGATGATAAATAGATAATGAATGAAAATAAGGATACCGTAACAACGTAATTATTATCCTGTACGTGCGCGAAGAAATTTATGGTTTCGCGACTTCATAAAAAAGTAACAAAATAGAAAATGTGGAGACGATAATGGCCTTACGTGTAACGTTTTACTATTCCATTAAGAAAATTAACGATACTCTCCAACGACAGTTTAAATACTTGGCGCACATAAATCATAAATTGAAACGTACGTATATCTACATATTCTCGATAATATTTTCAGCACTTAAAAGGCTCGTAGACTTCTTGCGTTCGAAAGTAACTGAAAGTATGCAATTTTGCCAGTCATATTTAATCGTTTCAAAATAATAAACGTATCGTGTTCCATATTTCACAGTTTTTAAAAAATGTTTATAATATTGTTTTGTTCACCAGCATGCCAGACTCGTCTTCGCTGAGACACTGGTCGACAAAGGCGTGGGCTACGTTGCCCAAACAGGAATCTTCATCACCCATTGCCCGGGCCTGTATCAATTCAGTTTCGCCGGTTATGGCAGTACCGACCTACGACTCACCCTGAAAAAGAAATTGAACGACTCCGACAGCTGGAGGCCGGTGATCAGCGTTGGTCCAGGAGGAGGCGCTAATCTGGTCCTGCTGGACGTCGAAGCTGGCGATCACCTTGCCGTTGTCGTCGAGTCCGGAAAAGTGACAGACGGTGTCTCGTTCTCCGGGTATCGAATCGCCAAGAAATAATCGACTTACCAGACAATCCATCCACGATTCCTTTCTGAGAACACCAGACCACTATTCGGAGGATCATCAACCACAAAACAGAACTTACGCAGAAAAGTTTCGCGATCAGCCGGGATCCAACGTCAACGTAAAGTTGTTCCAACGATCGTAACTTCACCAAGTTTCTAATTTACGAAGAACGCGTCCGGCTATTGTCTAAATTGTTCCAAGGCTGATTACCGATCTACCTTCCAAGATTCTATAATCATCATCGTTACCTGAAATCGACCTGATGCTGAAGAGTGCAAAATTGAAAAGTCTCAATGTTCGATCGGAATTTGCTACAATTGTGAATTCGTTATATTTTTTTATTTTTGCTTTTTTAAGATTAATCGCTCGAAACGATTGTAATCCAAGTTCGAGTTCTTAATTCGGAAGATGTTCGATCAGAGTGGTTTTTAATCTTCTCCACGAACTTAACGCTCTGTGATAGCCGTTTACCTTCGATCACTTTCTCTCACTGTCTCGTAATTTCATTGGTATCGTTGATTTTTTTAACTACAATCGCATCGGCACGAATCAATGAAAGCGCGAGACACGCTAAAACTTCTTCCATCTCAGCTAAAAAACTTCTTCTCTACTTTACCTTTCGTTTCTTCTTCACAAATATTTCGTTTGCCCCTTCGTTATACCTTCTATATTTCTATCAAGTAATTTTTACTTCATCCAAAAATACTTCCTTCTTCCTTTGTAAAAACTATACTATGCCTGTCATCTATCTTTCGATCTCTATTTCCTTACCTTTTCAATTTCTTCCCCTTATTTTCAACTGTTTTGTTTACACTGCTAACTATACAATTTTCTCAACTACCTATCAGTATTACGATCTCAAAATTTACTGAGTTTGCCATAAAATATTCTTCGAGAAAAATCTATTTTGCTTTCCACTTTCTTCCGTGACTCTTTCATGCTTCTCTTTCTTTACAAACCCTTTTTGTGTTCCTCACTTTCTCTTTTAACGCTTTAATTATCGTTACGTTACTACAACTACTCAGTCATTACTTTCTTCAGTGCTTTACTGTCTCGACAACAACCTTTCTCTAAAATTTCTATACTGCTTACTATTTCCTTGCATTGTCGAGGTATCTGAAATTTATCGTATTATTGTGTGCTCTATTTTATTTTCATTTTTAGGTGCTACTTTCCTCCCCTAATTTAAGCAATTGTTCTTCTATTTACTCAAAAAGTAATCTTTATTCTATCCTTACGTTTCCTGTGCTCTACTGTGATCTTATTGTCTTTAGAAACTACTTTTGTAAATTGATCTCCAACTGAAATTTTTCTTCTTTTTACAAAGCTCTACTCTTTCTTGTGGTTTCTCCTATTCTTCTGTATTTTCACGCTGCTATTCCTAATTTCTACTTTTCACTGTCTACTTTTCATATTTCTGCACCCTCTTTACACTTTCGTCTAGCCTCTAATGTACAAATTATTTTTCCGTTTCAAATTACGTTTTAAATCTATCCTCCTATTCTATTTTCTTCTCGATTGAGATCTTTTATAGAAATTTCAACGTTAATTTCAGACCTGCTATTTCTTTACATTTATTTCGACTGTCTATATTCAACTTTCAACTCTCTCTTTTTACTTACACCTTGCTTCTAATGTAAAAATTCTTTTGTTATTGTATATTTCCTTTCTATCGTCATAAGTTTTCACTGAAAATTTTTATTAAAATTCTTTGCTTCTCTGTTATCTCTATTTCACTTAAAATTCTGTACTTTGTTCTAAAATTCTTTTCTGGCACTATTTTTCCCTAATCTACTGTTTCTAGCTTCCAAAATTTCAATATTTTCCACGCTATCTGTATACGTGTCTTTCTCTTCCGTGCTTTTATTTTTCCCTGACTTTCTCTGATTTTTACGTTAGCCTCGCTCTAAAATTTTTTTCATTTTCTAGCTCCCCATGGCTTTTCTGTTTTTACGTTTCTGCTATTTTCAAATCACTTTATTATTTCGTTAGACATTTGTATAAATAAAATTCTCAAATTCTTTTTGTTTATTTTATGTTTCTTTTCTAGTGTTTTTGTTTCTTCTATATATTTTTACAAATGTTCTTCGTGCTGACCTATTACTCATTCTTTACGATTCTGTAAATATTGCAACTTCCTCTCTATCAACTATATCTTCAAGTTTTCTACCCTGCTTTCTATCGTTTCTAATCTCCTTTAGTTCTCTTCTTCAAACCTTTGTTGTCTTTAAAACTATAAATTAAAGAAATAGAGAGACATTTTCACTTCTTTTCCACGTCACTTTTAAAATACTTTTTTTGGTCTATTTCTTAGGAAGTCATTTATTATACAGTCCCTCTTAAAGAAGATATTTTTGTCTTTCTATTTCTTTACAAAATTCTCCTTCTACACTCAGTTTCCATACTTAAAGAAAATTTTCTCCCAAATTCTTTCTCAATCTCTATTTCTACATAAAATATTTCTTTAAAAAAATTCTCTTACTACACTCGATCCCCACTCTTACGTAAAATATATTTTTCTCACTGTTTCATAAAAATACTATTCTTCTACCTTTAATTTCTATCTAAGACATTTTCATTTTTCCATTTCTTTAAAAAAGTCTCTTCCCACGCTAGATCTTTGTATCGAACTATTCTTTGCTCTTTCTTTCACTTCTATTCCCCACTCTCCTACAATTAAAAATCTTTGTGCAAAATCTTATCAGCCACGTCCCTCCCATATTTTCTTTTCTGCCTGAAATCTTTCTTCTTTGTCCTCCAGTCAAATTACCGTGTATTTTGTACATACTCTTTTACACGCTGAGAGATACGCATCTACTACTCTTTGTACGATAACAACGAAAGTAACGCGCAGAGAAACGGAAGTGTTTCTCGTCACTTTCGATCTTGAAACCGCGTTTTCTCCTCGCTTCTCTCGCCTCTAGTCTAGTCCTTCCCACCTATCGTTACCCGATCTACGCCACAGAAAACTCTACTTCACGAAAGTACAATGTGAACATTTATCTGTGCAACTCTTTCTCACGTGCTGTGATTCTCAAGTGCTATAAGACGTTCGCGCGAAAATCCAAGACCACGCAGCGTCCATGCTGCTGTCGCTATTACTTGTCTCTGTTCTGCTAACGTCACCGTTCCACCTTTCTCGACAAAAGTAGCCAACTATTTCCTGTATCAGGGTAAACCTTTACTTTTAATTCTGTAAGTCGTGACGGTTGCATCACGGGTCTTAAATTGTCTTGCACGGCGAAAAGTAGCGAAAAATGTCTGTTTCGAAAAAAGGATAAGTAAATTTAAGACCAAGCAACCCTCACCATGATCTGTCTATCTGTTTACAATAAACGATCGGTTCTTACGTCTCTGTCTTTCTTTTTAAACATTCTACTCTGCCTATTCTCTCTACCTATCTGACGATCTATCTCTTCGCTTGTTCTCTGATATTTCACCTGGATGTCGAAACGAATTGCAAAACTCGTCTACGCCGCGTCTAATCTGCATTCGCTATCACAGCAGTTACGTTGTCGAGAAGCCTCTAATCGAATCGCAATGGCGCAAAATGTTTGTATTCAAGTGTGGAAAAAGCGTGCGCGTGGCTGCGAACAGTGCGTTTCTTTTTTTTTTTTTATTTCTCCCTCGTTTATTAAGCTTTGATTTTTTTTTGTAAAGTTTATAATAACCCTGTAAACATTACCATCGTTGTTCAATAGAAGAAAAAAAAATGATCGAAAAATCTAATAGAAGCATGAAACAAACGCGTCAGAAATTTCTTGCGTAATTCTCCTTGTCACGTTTAATCCGTATCGGTGGAATTGGTCAAATGCTGAGTTCCACGTGACCGCCTAAAACATTTTTGTAACCCTCGAGAACGGGGTGGACTTCCTCGTTCAAAAACTCCACCACCTGCTGAGGCGCTCTACCAACGAAAGTGGAGGGATCGAGGATCTTGTCCAAACTGTCGTGGATCGGCGCGAAATAAGGATCTTTCACGATCCTCTCGACTAAATCATTGTCCCTACCGTGTTGCTTCACTTCTGCGCCAGCTTCCTGGGACAGGACTCGTATTTTCTCGTGGCACACCTTTCACAAAACACATTGTAAAGTGTAAATAACTATCAACTTTACAGGTAGGTATTGCATTTCCAATATTTTTCTTAATTAATTCTAACATATTTACTGTACCAAGGACAGACTGTTTTCGTTAAAGGTAGCAAGCAATTTACTCTGTTTAATGTTTCTGATTAACACTTTCCCCTTCCCTTTATCGCGAGTCAGACTGGTTAAAGTACGAGAAGGGGTTAATAGTAATCACCTTAGAACAGATAGAATAAGACAATTTAAAGAAGATGAAGAAAATATACGTTTAAATTAATAAGGATATAAGTAATATTACGAAGTATTATGTTTGTCCAATTCTGAGCATTTTCTCCAGCTTGGTATATTTACCTGTCGGTCGCCTCCAGCCTTCACCATCGCCATTATGACGTTTTCCGCGGACATGAATGGCAATTCTTGGGCCACGTGCCTGGCAATGACTTTAGGATAAACAACGAGGCCCTCCGTGATATTCTGAAGGGTCATCAGAATCACATCTGCTGATAGAAACGCTTCTGACAAAGTGATCCTCCTGTTTGCCGAGTCATCGAGTGTCCTTTCCATCCATTGTGTCGCGAGAGTGTGCATAGCATTGTTGGCCAACGTCATTAAATGACGTGCTATACTGCAACACCTCTCGGAACGCATCGGGTTTCTTTTGTAAGGCATAGCGCTGGATCCTATTTGCGTAGTTTCGAAGGGCTCCTCGACTTCTTTCATGTTCGCCAACAGCCTAATATCGCTGCAAACCTGAAACACAGACATCACAAATGATTAGTGAGCGTTCCACGAGCCAACATTTTTAACGTTTTCAACCCACTTTTTTCAGGATAAAAAATGAACTATTTTTTACCAATAATGTTAAGCATATATTGTATTAACTGAACTCATATAACTAACAGTGACTCATGACATGAACGATAATATAAAGTATGAATTTATGAATCGATCCATTCCCTTGTTGCATTTACAATTACTGTCTACCAACTCTGTCTCTCCTTTCGTGCAACGTAGAACGTTTGTTTTTTATTTCGAAAAGAAGATAAGAATTGAATATACGATTATTTACTTTATGAACGGTCGAGCCCAAAGAGCTCAGAGCATTTAAGCACTCCAAGTCGACTTTCCTGGTGTAGGTCTGTCCTGTTACAGAATAGTGTTTCTCGAAACCGGCCATCTTGGTTACCAATCGATCTAGTTGCTTCACCTTTTCTCCATCGCCTGCAGAAACATATTATTGAAGCTACATTATCTCCCTTGAATCGTTCAATTTAAAAAAATAAAATAAACTGTCTTCATTGATTTCTGAAAACATTTCGTATAAAATATTCGTAATATTTAATGTATGTGAAATATGCTCACCGTTGAATAGTTGAAGAAACGAGGCCTGGGTGCCAGTGGTACCCTTTACTCCGCGGAATTTTAAATCGTCCCTAGCTCGTCGAAGAGCCCTTTCGTCCATCAGTAGATCATGGATCCAGAGGCACGCTCGTTTGCCAACAGTCGTCAGTTGAGCTGGTTGAAGATGAGTGAATCCCAACGTCGGTAGATCGCGATGCTTCGTGGCGAATGTCGCGAGACGCGATAAAACGTTCGCTAATTTTGGCAACAGTATGTCGAATCCGTTACGTAGGATCATCAGATCCTTTGAGGAAAGTGGAAATCAAATAAAAACGTCAGATACGATTCTGCTTCGCAAATTTTTTTAATATTTGCATATTTACCGTATTGTCCCCGACGTAGCAACTGGTTGCACCCAAATGAATGATGGGGGCAGCCGTGGGACACTGATTTCCAAAAACGTGAACGTGAGCCATCACGTCGTGTCTGGTTGCCTTCTCTTCTTTTGCACAGGCGTCAAAGTCGATGTCGTCGATATGAGACTCCATTTCAGCAATCTGTTCCGGTGTAATCGCCAAGCCAAGCTCCTGAAACAATTTCAAATATGAGTTAGACACTGTTCTATTTATGTACAAATGAATTTGTATATTTGTCTAACTCGTACTATTTAAATTTTTACGATCATAGAAGCGATTGATCTTAGCGTTGGAAAAAGAATCTTACATATAAAAAAACTTTTAGAGATCATTTTTAATTAAAGGTAGTTATCATTATTTTTCTGTAATAATAATAGAACGAAGACTGAAAGTTCATTAGCAGTGACAGCAGGGTGGAAACTCTACTAATGTGTTTATAATCCAGATCAAAATAACTAATAATATTTTAATGATCGTCGTAATTATTATTCCTATCATTATAAGTACATATGTCATTAATGATAATAACATTTAATTTATCTAACTAATTTCTAATATACCCAAATTTATTTACCCTATTTTAATTTTGCAAGTAATGTGTCATATTTAATTATGACGAGCATGGTTTAATTAGGTCAATGAAATTAACAAAAATAATCGTATACACGCTCTCGTATCAGAAGAATGTACCGATAGGATCGAAGTTTCGTCAAGATGAGTCAAATAAATCACGAAAAGTCCATTGTTAAGAAAGGGAATAACAACAAACGTTATATTTCGATGGGATCGAGGTGAATTATCGCTGAAGATAATACAACAAATGTGCAGGTGCTTTCTATACTTCTTATCCCTCTTTCAACGTACGCTATATCATCTGATTAGATAAAGAGGGCTTGGTACTGGGTCGAAGGCATTCAGAACGCTGTGAATTTCATTCTGTTCACACATTTTCATCGTGGAAAGAACGTTTTCAAACGGTGTAAACATGGTGTCCCTAGAAAGTGTGGCGGGTATAGTGGTAAAAGTTCTCAAGTTGGTGAGCGGATTATCCTTCTATTCTAGAAACTCGTAACTTGATTAAAATTACTCAAAACTCATCGAGAAATCGTGTAAAACAACGGGAAATAGCAATTGTGTGTCGAGGAATAAAGAGGTTGAAATTAAGTGGCGAATGTGTGAAAATTAAAAAATGATAAGATCCGATTTTAATATTTTATAATCAGAATTTTTGTGTGTCAACGCGCTTTAGCTTAGCGTTAAAATATTTTAATATCAAAACTTGAACTTTCATTGACTTCAGGTTGTCGTACGCCAGTCATATTACAAAACAATGAAAGCAAAAGCTACGAAAATATGTCCACGTTGTTTGAACGCAAAATATCTTTTTTAAATAATAATCACAGTCCTATGGACATTCGGTTGAAAATATTTATTGTCCCGCGTTATCTTACGTCGATGGCGTGTTACGAAATCGTTACTAACGGTGACACGCGAAGAATTCTGTTATTTAAATAATAGTCACTTTTTTTTTATCAATTTTATCGAAGTTTAGACGCATTTCGATCGAGTGACAAGTTACGGCGGCCAATGACGCCCAGATTCCTCCAATTAGTGCAATACCTCAGCGTTGATAAATCATCGTAACTAGACTCATTCAAGAAGCATTTGTACGCTATTCTATGATTCATTTCGGTCCTTATCGCTGTACGATAAGGAATTCTGTTTGCAAAGCGATATGACGCCATTTTGATGTACGATATTGCGATACGAGAGTTCTACTTTCTGCCGAAATCAATCTTTCCTAAAAACTTAGTAAAACTAAACAATAGCAGAAATGATTAAACACTGCATCCAAATTTCAATCTCTGAATATATGTTATGCTTCGTTACGCGTTTACTCTACGTTCGAGATCTCGTAAAGTTCGATTTGAGACGATCGTACTCTGATTAGAAGTAACAAAAGTATACGAATTTAAAAATGTGACGTTTTTATACGTGGCCAATTACTTTTTCAGGTTCTTAATCTCATTATCCTGATCCTGTATCGAACGGGATACAAGGGGGAATTCTTAGGCGTCGGAGGAACATGGAACTTGAACGAAGACAAGAATCCAGACGCAGAAATCGTTGCTTCCGGTGTTTTGGTGGGCTTCTTCATATACACCAGTGTGGTTCTCATCTCTTACTGCTTTGGGAGCCTGAACCACAAGAGAACGCTTGTTGTAAGATCACGTTTTGAATTCTAGATAAAAACTTTTGTATTCAAATCACTCTGGAATAGAAATCTCCCCTTAACGCGTTGACTGCCATGCATATATGCATGACACTGATTGTTCGATTTATGAGACCTCATTATTCGAATCACAACTTCTAAATATGCACATTAAAAATTGTAATTTGTTACACGAGTTAAACGAAACTTAATTGAACGAAACATTTAGTGAATGTTAATATTTTAATGATTCCTTCTAACAGAGTGTTGTTTTTCAGGAAGTTATAATGAACTTCGTTGGAACCTTCATGTTCGTGGCTGTGGGTGGTACAGCGCTTCATTATTGGCACGGTTACCAATCGGAACATAAATTCGATACTATTGTCCAAGAAAGACAGGTAATAAAATGACACAAGCGTGGCATTTTTGCTCGTAGAGAGACGATAAGATTAGAAGGCTTTGGAAGCGAAACTAGATCGTAGCTTTGGAAAATTCTCGATTTAATTCTCGATGCAACCTGTCATAGCTATATAAAAATTGTCAAATTTTCAGGTGGGTCTTGCTGTCGGATCGCTATGCGTCATCGAAGGTGCAGCGTATCTCGTAGACCTGATACTGAGCTTTCTACATTTCGCGAAAAACCGCGATGACTTTTTAGAATAATCGTGCAACGCGTAACCATCATCACGCCATACTGATTCCAATCAGTGACATCTATAAACAGGAAAAAATAATTGGCCCTTTGCTCGCTGCAGAGAACAACAAAATTCAATACACGTCACCTGCGCGAAATAAAAACATCTTTCATGTAGCGAATTCATTCGATGGTGGTCAGTGAAACGTTCGTTGATCAATAATTGTCAAAGACAAATCATTCAGACAATTGTTCGATCCTTTTAATTTAAATAACTTAATGACGAACACGCATGTAATGACACACGATATAATATTTTTTACTTATATTACGAATAAGATGTATTACTAAATATAGAGAATAATGTAGGAAATAATAATTAATTTTTATAATTACTAGATCTTCATTGCTTATAACAGTACAAATTCTTCTAGCACGTAATCGTTCGTAAAGTACAACGGTGTAATTTTATAGTTCGACAAACTTTATGATTAATAAGTCCACTTTCGAAACAATAATTCAAACATTGGAGGGGTTATTATCGATTGAAACAACTGTGAACAATACGGCGATAATTTCACAGCGTGGATGTACTCTAATTCTACGATATCGAAAGATCGTGTACGTCCTGATTTTACTGTTTGTGTACATGGAAATAACTTCGAAGTCGCATATATTTAAATTTGAAGTCCAACCATGGGTCGTGCTTGCATGGAACTTTGGACGAATGTTCACTTCGTGCTAAAGTTTATCGTGCTCGTAAGTTGAATAAAAATCTTTTCGAAGCCATCGCGTCTTCGAAACTAACACGATGAACAAGGTTCTTTTCATTTTAGATATTAATGGTGATCGTGGAACTTTTAGTCTTCGACGTGGCCACGAAACACTACTATCATTTTGTGTATCTCGAAGCGTATTATTTAATCGTTATTGTGTATTTAGTGATCAATTTATACGGTTACATCTGGTTCGACACAACTCCGATTCTGGTAATTAAAAACTCTGTTTGGTTTAAAACTAATCGAAGCTTTAACAAGATATTAATCGCACAATGAAAAATTTGTCTTTTCGTTCAGGAATCGCTAACGATGCTCGCGTCGATAATAATGTTAATCTTTACGGTTATTGCTGCCATTCGCGACCATGAATCGAAATATATAGTGTACGGTGAGTTGACTTAAACACTATAACTCGTGTGATTTATAATTCTGTAACGTGCACACGCATTGATTGCATCGATTTTCTAGGTAACGATCAAGAGAGGTTTACAATTTTTATTGTACTGACCCTGGGTGAGTCATAAGTACAATATTATTTCCCTTATGCCAGAACCATGAATGTACGATTCGATAAATACTGAAATTCAAAGTTCTGGTATTACCAAACTGGAAAATACCACGAATCGAGTAGAATCATCGTTGTTATCTAATGTACACACGTATTGTTTTGGCATAAATTTAAGAACAGAACGATTTAAGTATAAGAGAAGTAATACCATAACGAATTTTCCTATTTTTTATTATTCCTTGACAGTGGCGATCGTACTACTCATCATCGACTTAATTCTGCTTGTGATGCAAGCTTTGGGAAAGGGTCCCAGTTTCATGAAGAGTTCACGTAGCCAGAGACAAGCCACGTACGATTAAAACTTCCAATCGGTTGGGAATATCGACGACGACGAAGTTAATGTTCGAGCGTGTTTTTATCAAAAAATAAACGAAACCAAAGAATTAATGCCTGTTAATCAATTTACGTTTTAATCGATGTGAACGTAAATTCGTTTTAAGAGCAATCGATTAATTGTACGGTCGGAAACAGTTCCAAACAATGTCAACAACGACGATTGTGAAACTTCAAGGCGATTAATTTTAATAAATTTAACAAATATGTTCGAATTCGCAATTCGTCTTCTGAGAGACTTCAGCTTCCTTTTGAAAATTCTGGAGCTGGTAAAACGCATCCTATTGTCAACCAGTCGGGAATATTTTCATAGTCAACGTTTGTTGGTCGTTTAGATTATGGCTGTCGTTTGCCTCAAGGAACTCTCGAAATACAGCGAGTACCTGATACCAAGATGGCTATGGGTTATTTATTGCATCGACTCGTCGACGTATACTATCATCTATTTTTCTATCGCGATGACGCACGTGTTTGAGAAGCAACGAAAATTACCAGTTAGTTTTAAAAAGAAATATACTTATACGAGTATTAAGTTTTATTTAAAAAAAATAAAGATGATCTCGAGATCTTTGAAACGCTTCCACTTGAAAGACGCTTCATTGTATTATTTTAATATTCAATTATTTTCGAATTCTCTTTTTAGGAATTCATGTACTTCTCGCTGGGAGTGATTTTCAATTTGATAGGTGCTATAGCAGGTATCGAGAGGGCACGTAATAGAACCTCCGTAGATTACGAAGCAGATCGCAGCGAACTGAAAATTGGAATGCTTCTACTAGGTGCATACTTGAATAAATCTAACACTTTCCATTTTTTTTTATTAATTCTCTGGTAATTTTATCTCGAACACTTTCACACACGTAGCATATTCTTGGTGACCGCGTTCTAAATAGTTCCAAGTGTGTGGATTCCTCGACAGCAAAGGCAGTCGTTCAAAGAAACTTTTATGCAAACGTTGGAAAACTAAACAAACTTGTGGAAAAATGTTGTGAAATGTTTTCCTATAAACTGCTGCGGAAAGTAACGCGTTCTTAACTCCACCTACTTTCAATTCAGATTTATTCCTAGCTACTTGGAATTAATAAACAGTCTTATCGCCCACGCGACATGTGAACCAAATAAAATGTTGCTATTTGATTGAAAGAAAAAGAAGAAAGATTCTTTATTGGATTCTGAGAAAACAGTTTGTGACACGTTACTTTATTTACTGAGGTCTCCCAGTAAACTCTTAACGAATTGTTCGATAATTTTCAGCGAATTCCATCGTGTTATTCAGCGAAGCTGCCTACATGGCCTACGAGGAATACGTGAATATACGAAAGCCCACTGTGCAATCATCTACCACTGTAAACGTCAACAATAATTAAATAAACGTTATTTATTCGTGTACAGTGCCGCTATTTTCCTCGTGCAGTTTTAATGTAGGTGTCAAACAACATTTTTCACTATCGTTAAATTATGTATGCCTTGCATACAAATTGTTAAATTAAAAAGCCTCGCGTTCAGTGCGTAGAGAAGTCGTTTTTCCAATGGTTCAATGTTTTCGTCTTCGAGTTACTTTTAACGTTTGACCACGACAAGCATCACCAAATCTGCGATTATCAAAGCGGCTGAAAATGTCAAAAACCGTTTGGTTAAATTTGGCGTGACTTTTGCAACAGGGTAAGGAAATCGTCGTTATTATGTTATCATATTCGTAAGCATTAGTTGTGAATTTGTGTTCCGTTACCTAATATGAAAGGTACGATGCACTGTTTCGATAAGTCCATAAATGCAGTGATTAACATGAGAACGATGTATATTCCGAGAGCGAACACTTCCTGTAATGTTTGGTAAACGATTAGTTCTAGCAGAAAAATTAAAAACTCCAACAAAAGTAAAAAATTAATAAAAGAAATAATATTCACAGGAAAACTTTTTTATTTATAATTAAATTGATTAAAGTTATTTCCGTACCGTCCACATGTTTGGCTCCTCGCAAACGTAAGATATAAGATAAAAGAAAGACAAATACAGCCAACCATGGTAGGCTAAAACCATCACAAATCCGACACCATTGGTAAAGAAAAGTATTGCCAGAAGACACAGCACCTAAACAACATAACCAAACGTAACGAAGCTTCGAAGCTTCCTAGAAATTCCAAATACACGATATTCGATCCCGTAAATCGCTTACGAATTCAATCAGTCTCAGCACGAAATTAATATTTGTTACGAGTTCCTTGGGTCCTTTCATTTTTTATTCCTGTCACGTCACTTCTGGAAAGATTTCTTCTTTCGGGAACATCAACGGTGGTAGGTAATTCTCACGATTTAATCGATACGAAATAATCGAGTCGTTCGGTTACAGAAAAAAACATTTGAATGGAAAATAGGGTCGACGAATTTCTCATTAATCGCGACTGTCAAAGATTTGATGAACTCTCGTGCTCGACGAAGAAGAAATGGACAAAATGCCGATACATTTTCGCGGCTTGAGATTGAACGTTGACAAAACATTGTTAATGTGGAAAATAATATCCCTGGTTTGTTTCTTAATTATAGGTGTTAGATTAGAGTTCGAGTTTAAATAGTAGAATATATTTTTAATATTCTTAAACTACATAAAAAGAACCACGTAATGTCTATGATTATTATTCAGGCAGAAATGTAAGGAAATACGTAAGTGTTGCCTTCACAATGACGGTTGTTACTGTGAAACTTACTAGTTCATTGTACGAAGTATTCTGAGTCAGACTGGAAAATGAATCATTTTCCTAATAGCGAGAGAACGGATATCACAGGTATTAAACTGTTTTTAGACAATTAAAATTATCTGTAATATTATGTCACCGAATTGGTATTTTACGTAGTTTAAAAATATGGCAAGGAAAATGTAGAGTTTTCAAATTCTAAAGATTTCAGTACAAATTCCAAAAAGAGTTGGGAAAATTATGAACGATTTAATTTAGCAACGAGACGTGTACCTGTCATTTCTTGCATTAATACTTTTGCAGGCTGCTTGTATAGTTGGCACAGCAGTGTATTTCAGCCCAGTGGAGCCCTATTTGGAGTATCCGTGTTTCGGGATTCTAGTGCCAACATTCATAATTGGTTATATAATTATAAATTCTTGCGACATTTTTGTTATATTCGCGAATTACGAGTATATCTTTCTCGTGAGTAAGTGAAAAAGTACGGAATATATCAATATACGAAAACGCGCTATCAAAAGACATACAATCATTAAATATCTTATACATGGTATTCGACCACTTCTGGGAAAAATTTTAATGAGAGATTCTAAATGCCAAAATAAAACGAAAATCAAGAATACCAATTAGTTGATCGAGGCTTATAATTGCGGGAAAGAATTTTTTTCTCGAAACTGCGTAGGATTTCGGGAGTACGTGTATTCACCAAAACTGATTGTAATTGACCCCCACAACCGAAAATAATTTTTCCAGAACAATTTGAAATTTTTTAATTTTGTCGAAAAATTTCACACCTTCTCGAATTTTTTTCTCGAAAGTGAATAGGATTTCGGGGGTATGTCTATTCACCAAAACTGACTGTAATTGACCCCCACAACCGAAAATAATTTTTCCAGAACAATTTGAAATTTTTTAATTTTGTCGAAAAATTTCACACCTTCTCGAATTTTTTTCTCGAAAGTGGA